CTACCGCGACTATTTCTAAACTGTCGGAAAAACCTTTTGCGGAAGGTTATCTGTCGGCAAAGGTCCCCTTTGCCCACTATAGAAAGTGTCGACAAAGGTATGTCGTGTTATAGTGAATCCATAATGCCACATGGGGACATTTGCAAGGACAAGATAAGTTTCCAAAGATATGTACATGTGATATGCATGTGGTATCTTTAGCTTACATGTGGTATCTTTTCGCATCATATAACCTTGCCCTTTGCATTGCATCCTAGCAAGTAAATAGTTTTTAAATTCCAAAATTTTATTATTTGTTTTTTTGTCGTGTTATCATTAATCACCAAAAAGGGGTGAGATTGTAAGAAAAATGGATCCTAGGACCATTTACTTTGGATTTTGGTGTTTGATGGCCAACACAACCAAATTGGACTAATGAATTTGTAAGTAATTGTTTTGTAGTTCAATAGGGTGCAAGACATGACTTGGACAAAGGCAACATCATGATCCCATGATCAACACCATAAGCAAGACCCTAGAAGCACAAGAGAAGACCCAAGATATCAAGCACAGTCCAAGCATGAAGATGGGAACCAAGCTGAACGTAAGATCGCGAGGAAACAAGCTCCACAAAGGTGACCGGACGCGGCCCTATGAGTTATCAGATGCGTCTGTTCAGTTGCTCGGCAACAGCAAGCGTCAGCAACAGCGATCGGACACTGAGCGAGGTAGTGATCGGATGCATGGACTTTACTATTCATCATCGCGGCAACAATTCAGCGTGACCGGACACAGCGGCTGTGGACGACCAGACGTGCCAAGCAGTGGCGTTCGATCGAGTCCAGAAATGTTCCAGAGCGGCGCTAGCGCGACCAGATGCGTTCGATCGATGATGACCAGACTCGGCCTAGAGTCCGATCAACGTGCGCGCTCCAACAATCGGGACAACCGGACGTGTCCAGTCAGGACGACAGCAGTGTCCGGTCAGTAGCAGAAAGCTGGGTTTCGTCCCCAACGGCTACTTTCTCCATGGGGCTTATAAATAAACCCCAACCGGCCATTTGAGTAGTGGAGAGTTGAGGAAACATACCAAGGGTATTGATATCCCATTTTAGTGATCTCTACTTGCATAGTACTGAGTGATTCATTAGGTGATTAGCGTAGGTGCTTTGCGAAGTGCTTAGGTTGATTAGAGCACCGCTTATGCGCTTGCTCTATGTTTAGGCCTAGTGTTTAGTGAGGTTTGCATACCTCTTACCACTCGGTGCTTGCACGCACCATTGTTGTACATTGGAGGGGCTTGTAGTCTTGCGAGATCACACCAACCGCGTTTGTGGTGTGGCCGCCACCGTGTACCGAAGGGAACAAGGTCCGCAGCGTTTCGGCCGAAAGCTTGATAGTGAAGACAGTGAGGAGCGGTCCGAGAAAGGCTTACCGAAAGGCACACCGGAGACCCACTTGCGCGTGGGGAAGGCCCGGAGCTATCGATGGAGTTACCCGACCGGGAGCTTGGCCCTTGCGAGGGATTCCTTTCGAGGGGCTCCAACGAGGACTAGAGGGAAGCTTGCGCGCTTCTCGATGCCTCGGTAAAAATACCGGAGTCGTCGACGGGAGTTTGCATATCTCTACCTTACTCCTTAGCTTCCGCATTTACATTGTTTGCATAACTCCTTTTACGGTAGAGATAGCAACACGCTAGCAAAACCGTAGTTGTACATTTAGGTAGTTTATCTTTTTGCATAGATTTTGCTAAGGATAGAAAAAGATGCCATAGTTTTAGAGTTAGAGTTTTAAGTTGCCTAATTCAACCCCCTCTTAGGCGTCACGGTCCCTTTCAGACACACCACCAAAAGTTAATGGATCAAAAATACAGTTTGAAAATTGAGAGACCTAGATGACACACCACCAAAAGTTAATGAAACTACGGCGCATTTAACTCTTTATATAAAGAAGTATTAGCATTCAGGATACAAAAATAAGTATGATTAGATAGTTATAGAATATATTTTCATAATAAATTTATTTAAAGACATAAATGTTAAGTACTATTTACTATAAACTTAGTCAAATTTGAGTCAGTTTGACTGACACGGATTTCATAATTGCATTCTTTTGTGGATGGAGAGAGTAGTTATAGTCTATTTACTTGGGCCCAACCTTAAAGTGTACATGAGCAATCCACATTGCCCTTGCCCTTATTGTATATTTCCAACTAATTATTGAGAAACTCTAATTCAAACCAAAAGAAAATTTGAAGACTCGAGGACAGACGAAAATATTCAAACCACACATGCGCATTCCTGTTCATGTTTTTCTTGTATATATGGTGTAAAAATAAGCAACAATAAGAATATGATAATCCAAGAAATACATACTCCACATATAAAATAACGACATTTAATTTTGGCTGTCGCAGGGATTTATGTACGGAATCCGTTCGAGCATGTGTTCACACCCGCCGCCGCCATGACTGCGTGACCCAAAAGTATATTTTATAGTGACCTGCCACTGCTAGAACGCAGTCCTTATCTCTGATCAAAACAAAACAAATGTTTAGTACAGTAGAGGAGAAGTTAAAGAATAGCAAGAGAAGTACTACGTAGGGGTCCAGTTATGCAGTGAACTAGAGATTTGACCACACAAACAAAGAGAGATATGCAACCGGTTCGCTTGTTGGTTCAGTCAGCCTAAACCAGTCAGCCAACGGTGTTTTCTTTTAAAAACTAACACCAGCCAGTTCAAACTAGCACCAGCACCAGTCAACGAACAGACCCATACTAATATATTCATCATAGCATGGATAAACTATCACTCCGTTCGCATGATCATATCAGCCATACTTATTATTCATGATATAGTTACAATAAAACAGTATCAGTTAACTTATAAACCACATACACGATCAAACGAACAGGAGGTATGCCGTTGCAACAACCTTGAGAATTTTACAGAAAGATGCCCCCAAAAGCTGAGACCCTCATCGGATCCGATGATTGGAACTAGCTAGATCTCATCACATCAGGTGATCTGGACTAGATCTATCTCCTCCTTGCTTCAGTGTTTCTAGCAGGAGCACATAAGTAAAATAAATCTGAAAAGGTTAAATGTACTTAAAAGGAAATTGCAAAAGGTCGCCTTTGCCCATTTGGGGCCTGTTTGGAACACGGGAAATATTTTCCGTTCCTGTGTTTTTCCTGTGAAATTGAATTAATTTCTGTGAAATTCCTACGCGATTCCTACGAAATTCCTACGTTCCAAACAGACCCTTGGAGTGCAGTCTAAGACATGATGCCACTTATATTTTCCACCACTATGAAGTCAATTAGCGCGCACACACGAAGATTAGCATAGATGCACAAACAAAAAAGGCACACCGAATTAGAGGATAGAAAAGTAATCAGCACAAAGGTCAAGCTTTCTTTTATCAGCAATGAAGTGCTTGCTGCATATGAAAAATAATACAATATCTTTGATTTCAGGAATTTAAGCATTTTAAGTATTCATGAATTAGCATTTTAATAAAAAGAGTCATATGTAGTTTGAAAACAATTGAACTAGTTAAATGTTTCATTGCCTTTCCTAATGTTGCTAAATTTAGCCTAAAATTATTGGTTGTTTGGAATAATAAAAAATAAATATTTTGGTGAATCTTCCAATGATACACAAGTAATAGCTTATATATCAAAATCAATACAAATTTAATTGATTAGTATAAGAAAATAATTTTTTTTGAAAAAAAATATACTCCCTCCATTCTGGAAATAATAAGCATAATTTGACCATGAAAAAGCCATACAAAGCCTTGATCACAAAGCCGCTTTGAATACAAATCCATCGATACAAGTTTTATATTCTAGACGTATATAATTTGAGTAATTGTTGGTGAAAGTTTGTATAAGTTGACGTTTTCTTGTTTGAAATATGATTACCATTTCGTGACAAATGAAGTACGTAACTTGCAGAATATTATTATACTAAATATATGCATTTTAGTGGGATTAAAACTCTTAATGATAACCTCTTTGCAATAAGCTATGTTAAATTTCACTTATTTACACCACTTAAATTTCACTTGTTTACACCACTTGAAAAAAATATGACGTCCTAGTAATTTTTTTAATTATGTTTAAAAATTCATAAATGTTTTCCCCTTTCATAAAAGATCGAGAATAAATACAAAACAAGATACCCATTAATACTACGCCCTTCAGGAAAAAAAAGATACAGGGCTTGATCGGTTGGCTTCCAATTCTTGCCCAACCAAAACCATGGCATGCTAAAATTTTAGTCATCAATAGATTCATTGCCAAAGAATTGGGACACCAATGTTTATGATCAAAGTTTTAGCAAAGTCTCTGAAAAGTTGTTAAACTGCATAAAAGAGAAAATGCTGACATAAAAAAATAAAAGAGAAAATGCTTTCTATTATTGTTATGGCAGTCAACCAAATGCACACCTATGTTTTTTGTCCTAACTTTAACAAGCCTTGATTTTGGCAAGCCAAAGGCTTGCCATGACTTTGATTGGGCACAAATTTGTAGCCAACCAATCAAACCCACAATTCTAAAATACTGTGAACTCAAACCATCTTAATATCAACAAGGTATAATCCCAAGGAGTACAATATAAGACTGTCTCCAACAACCGCGACCCAAAATAAAAGATCCATTTATCTTTTGGGTAGCGCTACATGCAAAGAGTTAGGTTATGCCTCTCCTGACACTAAAAATATGTCTTCCAGGCTATATACGTTACGTTGAAGACCCATTTTAATTTTGGGTTGCACGATGGTCTCCGGTCGGAGACAGCCTAAACGACCAAATTATGGAGGTCCCTTGATGCAAAAGCCACCATACCATTTGACCCCTGACCAGTGAGCCCCCTGCCCCACCACGCCTCCTCCCCAAGACAGAGCGGCCGCCAAATTAAACTTGACCACTTCCTCTCTTTCTCTCTCAACTCGCAGTCCCTCTCTCTCTCTCTACTCTCTCCATCCCCCGCTTCTGGGAAGCTCATCAGCCATGGACGACGCCGCAGGAGAGGAAGAAGCTTCCATGTAAGTTCCTCCTCCCAAATTTCCATCGCTTTTCCTCGCATCAGCACTTATAAATACTTGCTGCATCAGTCGCGCACAAAAAAGCTAGCTGCTTCGGCTACCTTTCGCGCCCAATTGGAGACGCACCCCGAACCAAAAAAAAGAAAGAAAAAAAGATGAGAATTTGATGCCACAAACAAGCTCAAATGCGTGGTCCTTTTGAAGGTTCGAGACCAGCCATGTCCTGGGCGCGCTGCTGGCCTCCTCACCGCTGCTGGCGCGCGCCTGGGACCGCTGCACGGCCGCCACCGCCGCGGCGCCCGGGTTCGTCGTGCACGGCGAGGAAGACGGCGGCAAGGTGTACGTGGGGTTCTCCGGGGTGCAGGCCGCGCTGTCGGCGGCAGGCGCGGCGGTGGCCGGCGGCGGCGGCGGCGCAGACGTCTTCGCGCCGGTGGGGCTCGGCGGCGGCAGGGACGCGGCGGCGGGGCGGATGTTCGCACCGCTGGTCGCCGCCGAGCCTGACCTGAAGGCTGCCGCGGGGGAGCCGGTTGCTGTGCAGGCGCTGGCGCTGCAGTGCTTCTTGAAACTCTGCAGCTCTCCTGATTTCCAGGTAACTTAACTCACTGATTACTGCTCCTCCATTGAAAATATCTGCCTGATTAGTATCGTTTACTTTATGCTTAGCGCGTTAATTGGAGCAGTTTGCCTTGCCCACTAATAATTTGACTAAAAGATTGTCATTTTTTAAGCTGCGCGTTCATGTGATGATCTGCAGTTGATAGTATCAGTCATAATTATTAATCATGATATAATATTTTTCTACCGTATAAAACAGCAACAACCGACTTAAGCTACACGGCCGCGGATATTTTTGCTTTTCTTGTTGGCTGGGGGCGGAGTTATTGTGATGGTCATGTGCCTGTCTTTGGTTGTTGCCGTGTCCTCGTGTTCAGACACATGCACTGAGATATGAGATATTTTAATTCCAGTGTCAGTCATTCAGTATTTTAGGCCTCGTTTAGATTGCCTCAAAGTTTTAAGTTTTTTCACCCTCTTTTTATTACATCAATTTTTAGATACATGTATGGAGCATTAAATGTAGGTAAAAAAAGTAACTAATTACATAGTTTGGTTGTAAATCACGAGACAAATCTTTTGAGCCTAGTTAGTCCATGATCGAACAAAGTTTGTCAAATACAAACGAAACGTGCTACAGTATCCAGATCGTAAAAATTTACAACCTAAACAACACCAAATATCTTTTTACGACAAACGAGATTTATATATTTCAACAGCATCGAGCTGTGAGTATAGATACAGTGTATCATTACAGATTGCAGTGCATCCACTAAAGGGCACTGAGAGATATGACCTGTGTTGGTACGGGAATAACAAAATTTTTTAACTTTAATTAGGTTTATATAAAATACGTGCAACATTTATATCTTCAAATAAGTTTATTATGAAAGTATATTCAACAATCTACCTAATGATACTAATTATATACCATAAATATTAATATTTTGTTAAATATATTTGGTTAAAGTTAAAAGTAGTTAACTTTTTGGAAAGCAAGAATAACTCTTTTTTTTAAGGACAGAGGGAGTATTAGTAGCAGCCTTAAACTCTAGGAAAGCCTGTTTTGCTAGAGTGGCCGCCATCTTGAAGATCCTTGTGTTTCTTGACTGTGTGTAGTCTAGAAACTGTTGAGTAAGAGGTTTGATTCTCCAGTCAGGAGCAAATAATTTAGCCAGTCAGAAATTTAACAACATTGTGGGATGAAAACAAAACGAAATCCTTCTCTGGGCAAACAACACTTCAGTGCCTATTTCCTTCTCTCCGGTGATTTCATTTCTTATAACAGTTTGCCCTCTCTGGCATAGTAAGAGTTTGTGAAGTTTACTTCAGACCTCACCTCAGAGCTCAAAGCTGGGTGTGTGTGTACAGAGAACAATCCCTGTCAAATTTGGCGGCTAAGGGCGTGTATAGTTCCAAAAATTTTTGGCTTTTGGCTACTGTAGCACTTTCGTTTGTATTTGGCAAAAATTGTCCAATTATGGACTATTTAGGCTTAAAAGATTCGTCTCACGATTTCTCGGCCAACTGTGTAATTAGTTTTTTTTTCGTCTACATTTAGTACTTCATGTGCCGCAAGATTCGATGTGACGGGTACTATGTAAAAAATTTTGGGTTTTGGGGACATCTAAACGGGGCCTAACTTGAGATGCTATGCATCTGTAGGGCTGTTTGGTTCCTTAGACCGGATTTTAGTCCCTGTTCCATCGAATGTTTGAACACATGCATGGAGTATTAAATATAGACTAAAAAAATAACTAATTACACAGATTGCGACTAATTTGCGAGACGAATTTTTTAAGGCTAATTAGTCCATGATTTGATAATGTGGTGCTACAGTAAATATGTGCTAATGATGGATTAATTATGTTTAATAGATTCATCTCGTAAATTAGTCTACTCCTGTGTAATTAGTTTTTTAATTAGCTCATATTTAGTCATATTAGGTAGCATCCGAACGTCCGATGTGACACGAACTAAACTTTAGTCCCGAGATCAAACACCAAAAGTACAAGCACATGGCATACTAGATCACAGTACCCACCAAAAGTTGCTGTTGCTTCTTTATTGTCGCTTACAGCTGATGCATTTCTTAGGGCCCATGAGCAACAGAACAGGTGATAGTGACAAGGCATTTAAAATGCACTGCAGTGTGGCTCATGATTGGACAGCTTTATGCACCAAATGCATAGATATAGATCTGTAGAAATTTCAAATTCTCAAAATTCTTCGACTAAGATATGGAGAATGACTGATCTGGAGGAATAAAATCTAGTAAACATGATGGAGAGTTGTACTTCAGAGTTTACTGTCATTCAGAATTCAGGCTGTTTTCACCGGATATCTTTTGCTCTTCTATAATTTCAGATGACCACACAAAAAAACCTGTGATTACTTTACTTATGATTCATGCATTTGAACTACATTCCACTATTGTAGAATACATTCCACTATTGTAGAATAATAACCTAAATGACCACAGCCTTGTGTTCCATCACAAATTCCATTCTTTTGTTGGTCTTTTGTTGGCGGAATTAAATTTAGTTCTTCAAATATCTGTAGAGAATCTTCAGGTTTCGTTGATCTTTTGATTTTAAGTTTCAGAGGACCACACCTTGTCTCCATCTTCTTGTATACCTTTATCACTTTTGCCTTTTTTAATCGAGTGACCTAATTATTGTTCATAAAACTATTGAGATGATCATTTTCCATGATTTTTTTTTTGTTCTAGTATGAGTACTGTCTGTCACTTTATGCAGCTAATGATTCCATTCTCTCCAATCTTTACTTTTCAACCTGCCTCACTGAAATTATGCTACTAAAAGTTCACATTGTGTTTTGCCACACTGAAACTGTGACTTACTCATCAGAATTGGTTGACATTGCAGATGCTACTGAATGAGATCAGGGGCAAGGCAGTCGTGTTCACGGGCCACTCCCTCGGTGGCGCCATTGCGGCCCTCGCGGCGCTACACTACCTCTGCATCTCATCGTCAAGCTCGCCATGGGCACCTGTTCCTCCTGTCCTGTGCGTCACCTTTGGAAGCCCATTACTAGGCAACGAGGCGCTGTCCAGGGCCATCCTGCGTGAGCGCTGGGGTGGTAACTTCTGCCACGTAGTTTCACAGCACGACGTCGTCCCAAGGCTCCTCTTCTGCCCGCCGGACGCCGTCCCCACGCACATCATTGTCGGAATGCAACTGCATCAATGGCCGACACGGACTCACCAAACAGGCGCGGTGACCACGGTCACCATGCACATGGCGGACACTGACAAGGACGCGCTCCGGCAGCTGATACAGTTGCACGTTGGCGCTGTGGCCATGGAGCAGAAGCTTGCCGCTCCAGAGACGACAGGCAGGAGCCCGTACCGGCCGTTTGGTACGTACGTGCTGTGCTCCCCGAAGGCGCGGCGTGCGTGGACAGCGCGACGGCCGCGGTACAGATGCTGTACGCTACCTTCGCCTCTCGGAGCTCGCCCGGCGCAGAGTCCCCGGAGGCAGCGCACTCCTGCTACGGCGAGCTCGTTTTGAAAATGCCACAGCATTTGCTCCTTAAGAGACGCCTGCGTGTGGGCGACACGCCGGCCACGCCCAACTACGACGACGGTGTCTCCCTCGCGTTGGAGGCCTCCGGCATCGACGCCATGGTGAGGGCACACGTACGTACATACTTTTTGTCTGCGTGTATAAAACTACAGCGCGTGTTCTGTGTAGTATATATATCTTGTCTGACATGCTGGCATTGCCACCGGCGGCGGCAGGCCATGGAGGCGTCAACGGCGCGGCAGTGGCTGAAGACATCGAAGCGGGCAGGGCGGCGGCCGAGCCTGAACTGCGCTCGCCTGGCAACGCAGCTAGGCCGGATCACGCCGTGCCGTGCGCAGATCGAATGGTACAAGGCGCTGTTCGACGCTGAGATGGGGTACTACGACGCGTTCAAGCAGCGGCGGTCGCCCAGGAAGTACTCAAGGTGAACTTCAACCGCATCAAGCTGGGCCAGTTCTGGGACCGCGTGCTCACCATGCTCGACGCCGGCCAGCTACCCCACGATTTCCACCGCCGCGCCAAGTGGGTCAACGCCGCCCGCTTCTACCAGCTCCTCGTCGAGCCTCTCGACATCGCTGACTACCACCACCATGGCCACCACCGGACGAGCGGGAGCTACATGACCCACGGCCGGGAGAGGAGGTACGAGCTGTTCGACAGGTGGTGGCAGGAGAAGGCATGCACGGGCGGCGCCGGCGGCGACGTCACGTCCTCCATGTCGGCAGCGTCGGCGAGCAGCCGGAGACGCAGCAAGTACGCCGGGCTCACGCAGGACCCGTGCTTCTGGGCGAGAGTGGAGGAGGCGAGGGAGCAGACGGAGAGCGCCCGGGGCGAGCGCGATGTGGCGGAGCTGGCGATGAAGCTGGAGGAGCTGCAAGAGTTCGAGTGCTACTCCCGTGAGCTGGTGGCGAGCAAGGAGGTGTCTGTCGACGTGCTCGCGCCGCAGTCGAGCTACACGCTGTGGGTGGAGGAGTGGAACCAGCTCAAGCTCAGGGATGAAGTGAGGACAATGTTGCTTCGGTTTTGAGCTGGGCTGCAAACAGCTGATGAATTCGTAGGTAGCTGATGGGCATTCTCCAAATAGTTCAGATATACATGAATCATTGGGTCATTGTCCATGGATGCTAGTATAGGTGATTGTAAATATATGTAAAACCTAGAAACACTGCAGTGGATTGCAAAATATTTGTTCTTTCATGGGTACCTTGATGGCCTGATACTGATTCACTTTATTAAGTACTGGCTATTGAGCAAGGAGGCATGAAAACAGCTGAAGGAAGCTAGATGGTCCACGATTTCCAAAAGTTCAGATATGGATGGATGGATGCCAGTAAACTCCAATACATGTAGGTGGTAGTGGTACCTTACTCCCATCACTCTTCTTCTATCAATTCTTGTTGCTCCCACCTCTCTTCTTCCATTACTCGGTCCATTATCTATTGGGTGTGTCTCTGTGGCAAGTGACTGATGATTTGCTTTATGTGATGTTCACGTAATATACATGTAATGTTCACGTAGTACATGATGTTCTACAATGTTGTGATGTTCACGTAGTATACATGTGATGTTCTATGATGTTTTTTGCGATGTTCAAGTGATACACATTACACATGTAATGTATGTTATGTGATGTATTTTAATGTTCTGTGATGTTCTTAGGCGGCCGCTAAAATACATATGGTGTTCTGTGATGTATTTTATAATGTTCTGTGATGCATTTTGTGATGTTCCGACAGTATACATGTGATGTTCTGCGAAATTTGACTGACAAGAAAACAAAATATCAGACAACTGTATTTGAGTAAAACCCTTATCTCTTACATGTTTGAATGCAAAATCTCACTAGCATCACACCACTCATGTCGGGACCGGAGACCATGCATGTCGCATCTTGGCATGCACACATGTGACTATCTTCTAATTTTTTTAACCTCACAACATATGTAAACAATTGCCACATATTTAAATTGAGTCAATCTCCAATAAATTTCTCAAATGGGATTAATCCGTTGTAGCTAGCATTATATTGAGTCTTAAGATATAATTAAAGAGCGCTCTCAAAAAAAGATTAGGTCTTGTCAATTAAATCTAACAAGATAGCTAGCCAATTATAGGTCTTATGACCATACAATATGTTGTACGTCCCGTGCAATACACAGGTATGTTTGCTAGTAAAATATAAAATAAGACCATGTTGCATTTAGGGACAATTTAGAAACTTTTTTTTTCTAGAAAGATGTTGAAATTCAACTGATTTATATCAACACAATCACATAAAAGCTCTGGTGCTTGAAACAGCTTCTTTGGTGTGCAAACCAAACAAAATATTTTATGACCGCAGGGGAGGGGGCAGGGTGTACAGTTTTCATTGGAAATTTCAAATTTAAATAAATTTTAAGAACGGTTGCACTGCTAGCCCCCTAAACAAAAGAAAATTCACATTTATGGCATGACAGATTTAGGTAGACGCTAAAAATCAAGCATGATCCGTTTTGCATATATCCGGCACATAGCTTATGTACTTTTGAAATTAAAAGTTCTTCCCGAAATGTTATATTTAAAATTTTGATTATTCTGTTTGCCTTAAAATGTTTTATAAAAATCCAGGAAAAATCATCTAAATTCAATTTCTCAGCATATGTGGTTTGGGGACATCTAAATTTTTTTAACAAAGTGCATGCTCAAAACTATTTGTTTTTAAAATTTAATTTAGAACCATTTAAAACAATATCAAAGTTTTCAAGCATGCTAAAGATATCTCCCCACGTGGGGATTGAAGTTTAGAAATTTTTGGGCTATTACACTAGGCTCTGTTGAAAAAGAAGTTTTTTTTTCTTGACATATATAAAGGTTAGGCGACACACAGCCATTTTTCTTACAGGGCCAGTGTTGGCCCACGAAGAAGCGAGCAAGTTCCATTTAGTTTTTTTTATGGGCCATTTGGCCCATAGACGCTCGTTGCCATTGGAGGAGATATGGGCAGGGCCGCTGGACCTCTTGCATATGTTCTCTTGAACCTGGAACAACTTTCTCGCATAGCTAGAACAATTATCGCTGGGGCCTGCAACATTTTCTTGTGATTTTGGAATGTTTTTCTCATGAAGTTGAAACATGCTCCTAAATCTGAAAAGAATTTTCTTGTGAATCTAGAATAATCTTCTCCCTAACATGGGACCATTTTCTCATTAACCTAGAACAATGTTCCTCTAAATAAAATGTTCCATCCACATGACAAAAATGGTTCGTAGAGAATATGTAATCCAAATGTATCCAATTGCAATGTTATTTGTGTTGTAAGAAATAGAATGTTCAATTGAAATTCAACTTGGCTGTTCTATTTGGAAATTATGGTCGTGTTAAGTTTTGAGATAAGATGTTTATTTGTTGTAGCTAGATAAGAGCATCTCCAGCAGTTCCTAACTAATCTATCCCAATATGTATGTGTTGAGGTAGCCCAATATTATTTTTTTTGATACTGGGAGAGTTGTTGTAGCAGTACCCAATATATCTCTTCCAATATCTTTATGAAATGTGGGTCTCATAGGAGCGTAAGAGGATGGCTTAAAAGCAGTAGTTGGGATGGTATACAACTTCCCGGAAGATGAGCTAGCAAAACATCGGTGACGACCAAAATAATTAAGGAACTACTGGAGAAGAAAAAAAATAATCGTCTCCAATATAATAGTTTTATGGGATAGAGAATGTAGTGGGGAACTACCGGAGATGCTCTAATGTCAACAATTCTAATTTTCTCTTCACTAAAACGTGGAACTGTGCAAGTAATGGCAGAACGGGTACGGGTATACGTACGGAACAGTAAAAAGCAAGCTAATCATCAACCCCACTACTCCCGCAGAACAACGAAACCTTGAAGGTGGAAAGAAGATGGGCCTCGGCCTACAAACTTGGGATCACACAATACTTGAGCCCATTATCACAGTTATGTTGAGGCCTTTGCTAAAAAAAATCATGTTGAGACAAACGAGTTCTGCTCAAAAAAAAAATGTTGAGACAAACGAGGTATTCGTCAATGCAAGCGCATGTGTTTCTGGATTCTGTTAGTTTTCCTCACAAGTCACAACAAACTTGGTTCCAAGCAAATATCTGTCAGACTATATACCCTTTGTATGTAGTGCACAGTCTATCCCTAGCACCCCTGGCACCGTTATTTTGTTTTAGAAATATAATGATGTTACATAATTTCCTTGCCTTAATATCGTGGTTGACAGGTGTGAGGTGACGATCGATGATGTTGTTCCACTCTTAGAGTGAGCAAGCAAGCTGAAAGGAAAGTAGGTGGCCCAAAATATTTCTTATGGTACATGTGGACTTTTGATCCAAGGTGGTCCTAGACATTGGGCAAAACTCTTGCTCCTAACCGGCATAGGCTCAGCGAGTCTCGTCCCATCCTATCCCATCCCCTTCCGCCCTTCGGGTGACACCGACTCCACGATCGAGTTTGTGAGTGCCGCAATCTTGATTGTGACTCTTCACTGTTTAGAGGTAAATGGCAAACGATTAGGTATATTTTTCAGCTGCACCTGAAAAATTGTGCATTTGAGAGAAGCTAAACAACAGCTTTTAAGGAGAAGTTGTTTCATCAGGACGTGTTTGACAGGAGAAGCTGAAAGATAGCTCCGTGAAGCTGAGGAAGAATCCCTACCAGGCGATCAAGAGTATTTTTTGAAACAAATCAGGCAGGAGAGCTATCGATTATATTAAAAAGTAGATGAAGCCCAGACTGAACAAAAATAAATAGAAACAACTTCGATCGGTTGGATTAGGACATCAACACGCACCGAAAACTTACAACTCAGAAGAAGAAGAAAACAACTTTGGCCGGTCGAATTGGGACATCGACCCGAGCCACAACTCAACAAATACACATGCTTTACCACCACCCAACCACCATGAACTGGTCACTGCACTGCACCGCCATCCCCCGAAAGACAAAGCCGTCAAGACGAAATCACCCTCGTCACTGCTTGTGCCATCGTTCCTGATGATGTCCCACACCGAGGAGCCTGCTGAAAGGTCCTAATGGCTAGAGGGGGTGAATAGCCTATTAAAAATTCTACAACAACACTTAGCAAAGATATTAGACAATTAAACGGCGAAGCGAGTGTTGCGCTAGCCTACTAAAAATGCAAGTCACCTACCACAATTCTAGTGACTATGATCTCTAAGCACACAATGGCTATGTCACTACACTAAGTTAGTGTGCTCTCAAAGACTAACTAAAGAGCCACACTAACCACTAGGCCCGACACAAGCTTGCTCTCAAAACTAATTACACTAAAGAGCGAAGCAACACTAGAAATGTAAATGCAACAGAGGTGGTGATGTTTATACCGATGTGTCAAGGTATGAGCCACTCACAAGATGATCACAATCAATCACAATGAATACCAAGAAATCCTCAGGCAATATGACACAAGATTTTTTACCGAGGTTCACTTGCTTGCCGGTAAGCTAGTCCTCGTTGTGGTGATTCATTCACTTGGAGGTTCACGCGCTAATTGGCATCACACGCCAAACCCGCAATCAGGTGCCGTACAACCAACATAAGATGAGGATCACACAAGCCACGAGCAATCCACTAGAGTTGCCTTTGGTGCTCCGTCGGGGAAGGCACAAGAACCCCTCACAATCACAATGATCAGAGCCGGAAATAATCACCTTCCTCCGCTCGACGATCCACTAATCACCTAGCCATCTAGGTGTCAGCAAATACCAAGAGTAACAAGATCTCCATCAGCCTAAATTGCTCAACTAGTGCCACAAGATGTTAGAACACTAAGCAATGCACTAGAGGCTCTCCAATCTCACTCAAGATGAAGAAATAAAGTCTGCAAGTGAGTGGAGTGGTGTGCTCAAATCTCAAAGGGTGTATGCAAGTGTTAGAAGTGCCAAGAGAGTGGCCAAGGCTAGCCACTAGCTCTATTTATAAGCCCACAAGCAAATAGAGCCGTTACCCCTTTGGAGCAGCTTTCTGCGAGGGCACCGAACACAACGATGCCTGGCATC